GCCAAATCCTTCACCTGGAATGGTGCAGCTCTGGTTGTGTGCACAGACTGGGGAGCAGGAAAGAGACCTGGAGGTCCTAGTTGATGGCAAATTGAACATGAGCCAGCAGTGCCCTGGCAGCCAGGAGGGCCAGCCCTGTCCTGGGGGGCATCAGGCACATCATGGCCAGCTGGGCAAGGAAGGGGATTGTCCTGCTCTGTTCTGTACTGGGGCAGCCTCACCTTGAGTCCTGTGTGCAGTTTTGGGTGACACAATGTGTAAAAGACATTTTAAAAAAAGGTATTAGAGAGCATTGAGAAGAGAGCCACAAGGATGATGAAGGGCATGGAGTGGGAGCCATATGAGGAGCAGATGAAGTCACTTGGTCTGTTCAGCCTGGAGAAGAGGATACTGAAGGGAGACCTTGTTGTGGTCTTCATCTTCACAAGGGGAGAAGGAGGAACAGGCACTGATCTCTCTTCGCTTTTGTGAGCAGTGACAGGACCTGAGGAAATGGCATAAAGCTGAGTCAGGAGAGGTTTAGGTTGTATATCAGGGAAAAACTCTTCAGCTAGAGGGTGGTTGGGCAGTGGAACAGGCTCCCCAGGGCAGTGATCACAGACCAAGCCTGACAGAGTTCAAGAAGTGTTTGGACAACACTCTCAGTCACATGGTGTGATCCTTCGGGTATTCTATTTAGGACAGGAGTTGGACTTGACGATTCTAAAGGGTCCTTTCCAACTCAGCATATTCTTTGATTCTGTGATTCAGGAATGGAAGGTAAATGGGAAGGTATCTCTTGACTTCTGAGGGAAAGTTGTTTTTGGGCAACTTTGATGGGAGGAGAAGAAAGGTATTTCATCTGTCTTTTTGCTGTTCTTAACATCTGCAGTCATTCCTGGATTGTATTAGGGTCAGATTGCCTTTCAGTTATTTAGCATTTAGATGTTATCCCACTTAAGAGCTGAATGAAACCTTGTCTGTATTGAAGAAGATATGTAACTGCCATTTCCACGTAAATCTCAGTGCGGTGTTCTACTGAATGTGAGAATGGCTGTAGTTAATCAAGATGTGATTTAAGGTACAGGGATTTTTTTGGATGGAGACAGAATCTACTTGGATATGTAAAAAGGCAAGAAACCCCAGCAGTAGACCTCCTTCTTCCATGTAGGGAAGTTATATTTATTCACATCTTGAAGAATGTGCAAGAAACTTCTTAGGAAGCCCATATTTGAATTACATATGAAAAGAAAATCACTTTGATAGCCTAATTTCAGTCAAAATTTAACCTTGCATGTTGCAGGAATATCATTATATAGTAATAATTTGCACTAGTATATAGTTCTATTTTAAAACAGTGTGCATATTCTTCATGTAACTATATATACTAGTGAGCCCTAGCAACCTGATTTTATCAATGGGATTTGCTTTAATTGTTTGCAAAACTTTCAAGTTGTGTTTCAAGGAATTCCAGTGAACCTTTTACATAGTCCAGCTGATTCCAGAGTCTGTACTTGTTTAAAAACAATGTTTGTTAGGGCATTTTAACTAGCAAATTTGTAATAGTAGGGTTGGTTTAACATCTGGAAAACTTTGTCAGACACTTGTAAACACAGACAATTCTATTTATTTAAAGCCCGATGACCAGCTTGTTTATGTAATTTCTCTGTTGGCCAGATGAAATACCAAGATGAGCCGGGAGCAAAGAGGAGAGTTAGCCAAGTTTCTTGCATCCTAGTTTGACAGAGATTTAATTGGCAGTAAATGGTTTCATCAATTGAAATGGTCTCAGCTGCCTTTTCTGTCCTTATATATTCTCTTGGGCAGCAGGTGCATGTCTGTATGTTAGTCTGTGCAATGAATCAGATGAAGGAGCTCATGTGGAATGGGAGAAATGTTTTCTTTTTCCTTGGTTTTTTCAGGTAGATCACACCCTGTCCTGCATTAATACCATCCATACAATCACTTTTGTAGACAAAACAAAAAAGGAACATGACCAATTTTCTGGAGCAATGTTGATGTATGTCACTCTGCAGAGTGTTCACTAGTAATTCAGTTAATTAGTGAAGTATATACTGTTAAAAGGTAATGCAAGCTGCCTGATAGCATGTGCAAAAAGTAAAAGTAATTTTAAGGTTTTGTTTGGAATACTGCATTGAAGCGAGTGTTTGATTTCAGCCTTGGACAAAGAACTGATGTTGGTAGATGTCTTTTGGCAGCAGTATTTTTTCACCAGTATGAAAGAAACCATTAGCATTGTTATGAATTACTTCTTTACTTAATGTTTTTCCATTCAAGATTTCTGCAGACTATAAAAAGAATTCCTCTTTTAGAGGGATATATTCAAATGAACAGGTTTCTTTGTTGCTCGTGACAAATCATTCACTTTCAGAGTAATGATTAGATATTTTAAATATGGGTTAAAAATCAAAGTTAAAAAATATTAAGGAATATAAGCCAGATTTGTAAATAAGTATTTATGTACAAGAATAGTCATCTGCTTTTAGGTTAACTCTCTGTCAGGAGAGGCATGTCCCTCCTTTTCTCCTTCCTTTTTTCATCTTCTGCCAACCTTCAGTTCTCCAAAAGTGGAGGAGACAAGATCTTAAATTGTAGATGCTTACCTCATGTTAGGATCTTCTGAATAGTTTGAAATCTTAGATTATTTTTTTTATTTATAGGCACATAATGCTATTTACAGTGTGACTACTATATTCATGTTGCCAGAGACCTTTGAACACACACAAAATAAATTTCCTAAGATGAGAACAGACGTAAATAATGCATTTTCCTAGTGCTTTCCTCACCACTTTAAAGACTGATTGGTTTGCATTTACATTAGAGATTTCAAAGTAATAAAAATAATAATTTGCCAAATCTTCAATATTAATTCTGTGTTCAGAGGAATTTTTTTTGTGCATCAGAGATGCATTTTTAACTTTTTGTTCACACTTAGTTTTAACTACAGAAATGAAAACCACTAATACTTACTGTAGAAACATCTGTTAAAAAGGACTTGTTAATTGAGTCAAGCTTTTTTTGTTTGTTTTAACAGCTATCATTTGTAGCAAATGAGAGCATTTGCTATGCACTTTGTCTCTGAGCATTTGTTTGCTTTCCCAGCTTTTTCTGAAGAGCTGGCTTTTCTGAATAGTAGTGCCAAACTTTTAAAAGTGTCATATTGAGTTAAATGCACAAGTCTATGTAATTGCTTTACAGCTTATAATTGCATTTAGTATATGAAAATGTTTTAGCAAATATGAGGGTATACAGTGCATCCACTGCATCCTTTTAGTGTCTAGAGTACAAAACAAGCATCTCTTACCTTAAGATTTCTTTGTACAAAGCTATGTGCACTTCACCAGACTGCAGTCTCAGGTGCAATTTCTCCCTTTCTCATGAATCCTGCCTTTCACTGCAAGCAGAGGCTTATGTTCACAAAGAAGCATTTTCCTGAAAAAAAGAAGCTGTTAAAAAAATATGAACTGAAGAAGATTAGAGCCCAGAGTTCCTACTTTATTGTATCTGCAGGAACTTAGGCAAAATTTAGACCCAATGTAACTCTCCATCCAAGCCTAAAAAGGCATTTTAACTGCTTGCCCATAGCAAATGGGGCAGCTGGAATGTATCTATGACCATCACCATCAGGAGCTTTGTCTGATGTTACTCATGTGGCTTTTCAGCTCTCAGATACAGGGAATATGTATCCTAATGTATTAGATGGACCAAATTGAATCTCTTCAGGTACCTCAGAGTCAAATCACTTCTTCAGTTACTGCTGACTGTCTTAAAGCTAAAACTCTTTAAGGCTTGAAGGGATCTTGGGAAGTCTCCAGTCCAGGTCTTGCAGACAAAGCAAGATATGTGTAACAAATTGCTTAGGACTGCAGCCAGTGGGGTTTTTATTATCACGATGGATAGAAAAATGTCTCTATCATCTTTACCCTATCAGGAATTTGCACACATTGGCAAGATACCTCCTGAGCATCCTATTCTCCTGGCTGAAGGTTTCCAGGACTTTCAGCTTCTTATGTGTCAGATGCTCCAGACCTTTAATCATCTCTCTAGCTTTGTTGGAGTCTCTCCAGTATATTGTTCTCATACTGAGAAGTACAGAACTGGACCCAGCATGCCAGCTGTGGTCTAACCAGGGCTGAGCAGAAGAGAATTAGAGAATATGCTTAGTTGGAGGGTACCCATGAGTCTAACTCCTGTCCCTGAACACGACACCCCAGGAGTCACACCAGAGTATAGTCCAAATGCTTCTTGAGGTCTGTCAGGTGTGCGCAGCCATCCTGAGATGTGAAGAACTTTTTCCTTATATCCAAAGTAAGCCTCCACTGATACAACTTCTGTCATTCCCTCGGGTGCTGTAGTGGTCACCTCAGAGAAGAGATCAGTGCCTGACTGTCCTTGCCTCTTCATGAGGAAGTTGTAACTGCAATGAGGTGTTCCCTCAGTCTTGTCCAGGCTGAACAAGTCAAGTGACCTCAGCAACTCCTTGTGTGAGTTCTCCTTTAGTCCCTTCCCTGTCTTTGTAGCTCTCCTCAGGATGCTGTCTTCAACCTGCTGGCAGTACATCCTGAGGATGCCATGGGCCTTTGCTGTAAGGGAGCAGAGATGGCTTATGTTTGAGTTGATGTCCACCAGGACACCCGGGTTTTCTGTACAGCAGCTTTCCACAGCATCTTACTCCTGCTTGGGATTATTCATCCCCAGACTCAGGTGCAGGACTTGGCATTTTCTTTTTTTTAGACTTCATGGGGTCTCTGTAAGCCCAATTTCCATCCTGTCTGTGTCCCTCTAGATGGCAACACAGCCACCTGATGTACTGTTAACCTCTCATGCAAGTTGTTTGTAGTGTGCTAACTTGCTGAGGCTGTACTTTGTCTCATAATTCAGGTCACTGATGAAGTCATTAAACAGCACTGGCCCCTGTATCAATCCCTGCAAAGGTGGCTGGCGTCCAGCTGGACTTTATACTGCTGCACATAACCCTTTGGACCCGGTAGTCCCTGCATCTCATGGTCTGCTTATCTGGCCTCTATTTCCATATACATATGTTGTGTGGGAAGGTGTTGAAAGCTTTGCTAACATCTAGGTAAGCATCATCTGCTTTGCCTTCATTCACCAAGTCCTCTCATCATAGAAGGCTGTCAGGTCAGGCATGGTGTTCCCTTCATATATCCATGCTGATCCGTTTCCTACTCAGGGACTGAGCTAAGGACTGTCCTGTAGTTCCCTGGATGATCCTTCTTGAAGAAAGGAATTACATTTACTTCATTTTAGTCCTCAGAAACCTTCCCCTGCTTCCATGACCTTTAAAAGATAACCTACCCTTAAGTAGACTTTAAAAATAACACTGGTAACATTTAAAATTGTTTCTCTGCCCTTTTAGAGGTAAAATTAGGTTTCTGTTTCACAGCTGTGAATCACTAATTTTCAGATGCTGTCATCAATGATAAAAATAGTTATCAGTGTTAAACCAGCAATTTTGCCAAATTTGTGGGTTTCTTTATAGTTCCCATGAATTTGTTGAATTTTGTTCTTCTGGTTATCTTAGGGATAAGGTGTAGCACATATGGCAGAAATGGAAAATGCTTCATAAAATAAAATGTACTTTCAAATGAAGTTTTTTTTCTATAACACAATTTTTAAAAAATTCTATTTTCTATAGTAAAATACTTTCTGTCCTAATTTTTAGTTTGTTTATTTACTTAAAAAGTCACTAGTGTGCTGATTAGTGAAGGCAGTGTAATATTTTGTAGAATTTTCATAGTGGATGGAATTTCTCTTACATCTTGTTTGAGAGCTCATTTACTTTTTTGCCTTCAGTAAGTGTTGTAAGTAGACAGCATTTCATACTTTGCCTTTTTTTTTCCTCATAAAGGCAATTGTCCTTTAACTCCCTAAATATTCTTTCTTGACTATTTACTTGTTTTTTGCTTGGGGGGGGTGTTTTGCCTATGACTAAGCAGATAATCGGGTCATGTTCTTACAACACCCTAAAAAATATTTATGGACTTACTCTGTCAAATCTGAGTTCTTGTTTACCAGTTGAAACATGTCTTAATTTTTGTACTTGACAGCTTCAGTTTTTGTTCACATCTGGAAAGACAGTGGTGCTGAGGAATTGAAACAGTTTTGCTCTGCTGCTGTTGGACAAGTTGATGGGCAGCTATCAAAGTGCACATGTCTTTCCATACTAGTTAGTAGTGGAGGTGTACTGGTGGCAGGGTGGGAGCTGTTTCACATGTTGTGCATGCAGGGGGATGGAATAAGTGCATCCAGTTTTATGATCAGAGGTAATCAGAGGCAGACACTTAAGGCTTCTGGGGTGATGTTCAGAAGCAGTAACATGGTGACAATAGTCTTGGTATTGTCTATACCTGACAACAAAATAATGCAAAACTGACTTTTACAGTGGCATGGGACTGCTCTCACTGCAGACTTGGTTTTCTGTGGAGTGATAAGGTATTTTGGCAGTATAGCTAAAAAAAAAAAAATTAATTAATTTTTTATTTTTGTTTCTTTTAGGACTCCTCCAGGATGGTTACAAGCAGGTATAAAAGGTATGAGATCTTTGTACACAACAATTTTGTTTACATTTTTGCCAGAAATAATGCTGATTAAATGACTATTTTTAGTAGAAGCCATCATACTGCTACTGTAGATATATAGCCTGATATCAGGCAAAGAACCTGAAAGATGCAGCAAGCTTATCCAAAGCCCTCTATTATGTTATGACTTTAAAACAAATTCCACTAGTTTTTACTGGCTCTTACTAGGGCAGAATAGTTTCCCAATCAAATGTGGAAGCCAACTACACATTGCCTAGGAGCCAGTATTTTCACAGCTTCATTTATGAACCACTGTATTCCTAAGTTGAATAAAGGGAGATAATTTTGTTGCTCTCCACAGTAATAGTGAAAGGTGGCTTTGTCATACTTCTGTCTCAGTTGTAGAGATGTTCCTCATATACAGCATGTCCTGTTGTTATTTGTATGTCTTTGAGTCAAGTATTACCCTGGTCATTACTCCAGCTTTTAAATCAGAGAAATACTTCTGAAGTTCTTGATGCACATGACCAGTGTGTGAAATTTTTGTCCATGTAGAATTAGTACTGACACAACTATCACAGCTATCAGGAAATGTTATTGTAATGCAGGGTCTAAAATACATCAACTGAAACAAGACAATTGTGTAAGAATGTTTTTATTTGGTACATGAATGCATTCCCTTTCAGGTATCCTTTACTTGGGTAAAATATGTAGGTGGTTAATTCACCAGTGTGTGTGTGTGTATATATATATATATATATATATATATATATATATATATAGTGCAAAGAGCATCTACAATTACCTAGTCTTCACTGCTGTGTTTTCTACCCCTCAAAATTGTTCACTGGTAGACTCGTAGAATGGTTTGGGTTTGAAGAGACCTTGAAAATCACCTAGGCCAGTCCCCTGTCATGGGCAGTCATGGGCAGGGACACTTGCCAGTGAACTAGATTGCTCAGAGCCCCATCCAACTTGGCCTAGAACACTTGGAGGGAGGGAACACCCATAATTTCTCTGGCCAGCCTGTTCCAGAGTCTCACTTCCCATGCTGTAAAAAAGAATAACCTATCCTGTTAGGCTTTAGCTTTCCTAGCATGGTGTCTTTTATATTTATGTTTCCAGGTTCTCATAAACTCAGTTGAGTGATGCTTTTTATGTTGTTTTTTTTTAAATCACTTTGTCATTGCAGAATGGGTGGGCTTATTGTCACAAACTTAATAACTATGTAATTTCATTATTCATTTCTTGTTAATCAAGCACATTTTAGTTCAGTCTTTATTTCCTCTTCAGTCGTGGTGCAGAATTTTATTGCTGTTTGTATCTGCAAATACTTAGTGGTGTGTGTCATACTTTTGTGGCTTTCCATAAACCTTATCTCTGCTTGCATGCTGTATATACTCGCTTGCAAAAACTTGATTGTGTGTGGGGTGGTAACAAATAGAAGTTTGCACAACCACGTTTGTAACTTATTTGAAAATAATCTCATTCTACTGATTAGCATTGCAAAAGGAGGAAACGCCAAAGCTAGAAAATGCTAAATTAAACTTGGTTATGCAGTCTTCCCTCAGTCAGCTTTAGTTATATGTGGGATGTAGAGCCTTTGTTAACTTCCTCTGTCAGGGCTGGCATCACTTGCAGGAGGAATCTGACTTGCTGTGAGCTGCTGTTCAATATTTTATGGATGTTGCCATCTGTCTTATTTATTGCACAGTCTTGAACTTAGTTGAAAGTGAAGTATTGTTTACCACTGTCAACACAGTGCCCAGTACTCACAAAATACTCAGTGGGTTTTATTCTCCTTGAATACAATGCCCACTGTGGATTTGAGTTAATATTATCTATTAATTTTCTGCTGTATTTGAAAATTTCTACCTCTGAACTAATTTTTCTTGTGAGGGTACTTAAGTTATGACTCCCAGTGGTTTTGCCTTCTGGTTTGAATGCTAGAGTCAGAGCCAGAATTGTTCTGGGCTTGTTTGCTTCTTCCAACGTCTGCAGTAGGTGAAGGTCTTGCAGAAAGCAGCCTCCTCTACAGTAATTCTTATTCAGTTGACTCAGATCTCACTGGAGTCCCAAATACATTAGGAGTCCCTTGGAGTCAGTTGGTTAGAGCATGATGCTAGTAACACCAAGGCTGTGGAGTCAATCCCTGAATGGGCCATTCACTTAAGAGTTGGACTCCATGCTCCTTGTGTGTCCCTTCCAACTCAAAATGTTCTGTGAATCTGTGAAGTGGAAAATGCTATTCAGAGATTGCACCTAGTATTGGAATGCTAATGCCAAAGGCTGAATTGTGATAACAGGCTCTGTTAAGACTCAAATACGTTCAGCTTAATTTGCTTTTAACAGTCTTGGGTGTACTCCATAAGGTTTTCAAAGCAAACAGAGTGAAGCATGTTTCACATAGGGACAAGCACTTCAAGATTCTATTTGAAACTTACTTGCAACAGTAAATGGCCAGTACTTTGTGGGAGATAGATGGTCAGTAGACTTATAGACATATGATAGCAAAAAGGAAGGTATATTTTCCTGAAATGTTGGATTCTGTAATAGAGTCTCTTTCCACTGAAAGACTGAGTTATTTGCCAGAAATATTCAGGTTGCTTTCTTCCATTTTTACCATTGCTTCTTCTCTTTTGCCTTCTCACTCTTCCCCAGTTACTCCTTATCAAACATGATATCTTGTTCATCTGAGCAATTTTCTTCATTTTGCTGGTTTCCATTTCTTAGTGCAGTTAGACACCCTTTCCTTTCTCTTCTCCATTTTTCTTACATCCTTATATTTAATCATTGAGGTCCTAGTCTTCTCTTTATTATTTGTCTGATTTTGTGTGGGGGGGTTTTTATTGTATTTTTTTTTTCTTCCTGTTATGTCTCCATTATCCTTTCTGACTTCTAGTCCTGGATTACTGATATTTTTCTGGACTTCCAGTACCTTTCCTTTCCATTTCCATTTAACTGTTTTCATATTTTATGTTGTGATCTTAGAGATCCTTCTACAACTTCAACAGTTCTGCGATTCTGCCTCTACACTGAGATACCCATCCTCCCTGTATCTGTATCTGACAAGAGAAAAGAGATTAAAAATCTGAGAATATTAGTTATGTGTGTTCTTACAGAATCATTGTTCTCTTGGTGTGTTCCAGGACTCAAGGAATTGTACAGATTTTACACTATGAATTGCACTGGCTACTTTTCCCTATATGGATGCAACAATCCGTGACTAAACATTTATATGACATTGCTGGGAAACCTGTTTCAATGAGTGTCCATTGACTGGAAAACCTGTTTACAAATGAACTCTGATGGCTTCTCTGTGTTACTGTGTGCTTAGTGACTTGGACAAACTGAGCCTGTCTCTTTGTGCTGTAAAGTAAATAAAAGTTTGTGATGAGTAGCTTAGTCTATACTTGTAGTCTGTCTTCTGAATTTACTTCAGAAATTTTCACACCCCCCAGAAGTCTGTGGAGGGGTTCCTTTGTAGTTGCACTATTAAATGCATAAAATATTTTCAAGAGAAAGTGACACTTTTGTTGTGGTCTGGAGTGGTACTGTAAGATCTATTAAAAGCACGACCAGAATCTGCAGGGTCATGCTGACATGAAGGCCACAGGACTTACAGGAGAGTATTTGGGAGCAGTAGTCAGTCATGTGTCCTAACTGTAAGTTTCATGTGTTTTAAATGTGTAGGTATACTTCAGTTGCAATAGCCCATATTGACTTCCCATTCTTCCATTTTCCTCTCAGGTTTTTTAATGTAGTATGGCTCATCTTGGCCATTTCAAACTACTGTTATGAAACTGGGTTTGACATTTTTTGCACTGATTTGTGGATAGATATTTGAAATAACCAAACATACTGCCATTAGTAAGAATGATTTTCCGATTTAGGTCTGATGGTATCAGCACAGTTGATGTTACCAATGATTTCTCAAACATGAGAAGGTCAAAGTGCATTTTCTTTATTGAAATACGCGAGTCTAATCTACATGTAAACATGAATTATGTTTCTTTGTAAACTAAAAGGCTTGTTTGCAAGTAACAGTAAAGCAAGATATTTATGCGGACATAGGAATATTTTTATAAACACAGAAGGTTTGTTCTATCTTACTTTGAAGACTGTCTACTAGTTTTTGAACCAATTTAGTTTCTTTTTTTAAAAAAAAAGTAAACTTTGAAGATTATGATTTAAAGATTTTTGTGTGGTTCTTGAATCAGATCAATTGGATCAGTTTACAAAAAGAGCTAAATTAAAATCTCTTCATGGTTCAGAAATGTATTCCCCTTTTAAGTTTGTTTACTAGTGGAAATGATTACAGTATGTATGGTTATATGGCTTCCAGTCAAAATGTCAGAGAGGATTTTTGCCCCCTCTTTCAGGATAGTACAGCACATTAACATGGAACCCTAGAGGTAGAGGCTATATAGCACTAATTGTAAAATACTCCATCATACTTGAGCTTATCATTCATGTAAGAGTTGAAAAACCATAAAAAAAGAAGGTGCTTCAGATCACTCATTGGAGGGGCTCTGAAGGAAATACCTGCTGAATTTGCCTTGCTCAGCGTTTTTAGATAATTATAAAACTTAATCTATAACAGTTTACTTTCCATCATACTAATCTTGTTCTCAGTAATTAAAAAAAACCACAGCTGAAAATGCTGTTGCATAATGCTGTGCCCAGACTTGCCTGTGTTTAGGAGTTTCGCAGTGAGGGCTGGCTTTGGAAGCATTGTCTCATCTAGCTTGTTACCTTAGGACCACTGCTTTGCAGATAGGAGCATTTTATTTTAGAAAAGGGTCACTTAAGAAGTTTTTCTTGACTTTTGTAGCCCTTCTTGAGATGCTGCTGATGTTATGAGATGACATAAACACATAGGGTTTATTTCTACAAAATGTTTTGATGGTCTATAAGTTCTGGCCAGAGTTCCTCACTGCCCCTTGTGCCAGTGCTCGAGCAGCAGGACAAGGTACTGCTTCAGGGACCTACTGTGGCTGCAAGTTGATGGCTTTCTTTTGCTTGGCTGCTCGATTGCTGCATTGTAGTTTGAGTAGTTTCCCATTCACCTGAAGCCCAGAAGCAGGAGAAGTAGAGGAGCCTAGGGAATGCAGCTGTAGAAAAGGTAAGACTGCCTTTCCTTAGCTCAGCTCTGAAAGCCACAGATTTGGTTTGAGTGGTCTGAAGTAACAGAAAGCCAAGTTGCCCTGTTCTTCCAGAGAAGCTGTTAGCAGCTGACTGTATTGCAGTGACATAAATAACTAGAGGTTTCCAAATCAGGTATAGTTATAAGATTCTGGCATAAAAAAAAAAAAAACAAAAAAAACAAACCTGTTGCAGATGAAATACAGTTTGGACAGGGTGATTTTCACTGGATGAAATGGCAATTTGGACAGTGCTTTGTAAAGACATTGAGAGAATCAAAGAAGCATTGGAAGGAACAAGAGATATTTGACCTTCCTGTAATAATGCTTTTAAACCTGTCCCTGTATAAATAACTGATTTTATTGTAAAGAAAATAACTAGGAACATCATTCCTACTTATCAGAAAATAACTAGGAACATCAAACCAGAATATCTGTTTCTCTGTAAGAGGAGTAAAACTGATTTTGCTATATTGTTTTTAAGTATAGCCAGAAAAGAAACCTTGTAAAATATATTTATATTTGTGTATTTTTATATATAAACATAATCTACATGTATACTTCTATAGACAATGTCTTCATTGGGGGTGGATCATAGATGTTTCCTCTTAGTAAAGAGATACCGGAGTTCAGTGGTACTGTTTTTCTAGTCACCATTGTGGAAAGGATCCTGGGGGGCATCAGGCACAGCATGGCCAGCCAGGCAAGGGAGGGGATTGTCCCACTGTGCTCTGGGCTGTGGCAGCCTCACCTCGAGTGCTGGGGGCAGTTTTGTGTGCCACAACATAAAAGAGACATTAAGCTCTTAGAAAACATCCAGAAGAAAGCAACAAGGATGGTGAAGGGACTGGAGCAGGAGTCCTATGAGAAATAGCTGAGGTCACTTGGTCTGTTCAGCCTGGAGCAGGGGAGACTGAGGGGAGGCCTCATTGCATTACAGCTTCCTTGTGAGGGAAAGAGGAGGGGCAGGTGCAGGTGTCTTGACACTTGTGATCCATGACAGGACTCAAGGGAGGGACATAAAGCTGAGTCAGGAGAGGTTTAGGTTGGATATCAAGAAGTTTTCCAGCCAGAGAGTGGCTGGTCACTGGAATAGGTTTCTCAGGGCAGTGGTCACAGCACCAAGCCTGTCTTGAGTTCAAGAAGTGTTTGAACAGTGCTCTCAAGCACATGTGACTCTTGGGGTATCTAGGGCCAGCAGCTGGGCTTAAATGATCCTGATGGGTCCCCTCCAATTCAATATTCTGGTTCTGTGATTCTTTCTCATTTAACACTCATGAAGTGACATTGCATCTGAAGACTTAAGTTCCATTCTTTGTAAAAGATGTTTCTTGTTGTGTCATCGGTAGTACTTTTTTTTTGTCATTGCTGTGTACTAGCCTTTGGTTATAACAACCAAAATAATTAACTTTTTATCTGTCATATTCCTTATGTTAGGTTATGGATGATGCCCCCTTAAATGTTTTTTTTTAAATCTCATTTCCTAGAAGCCTCTGTGACATGTTCTTTGTACTTTCCTACAATGAGAAGGAATGTGTTCAGTAGGGTCTGCTGCCCAGTGGAATAGGTGAGGAAATTCAAGTGTCAGTTTCAGGAAAAAAAACCTGAAAATTAAAGCATTTTCTTTATTAATGAAACCCTTCCTGTCCAGGTATTCTTTCTTCTAATCTTTGTGTGGGAGCTTCTGTCAATATCACTCACTGGAGCTGAGTTTAAATACTCCAGTATGGTGGCAAAAGTATTCATTTTTAAATTATGAAAAATTTAGATTTTTTGTGTGGTCTCTCCTTGAGATATAAACAGCACCAAACTACATGCCTTTTAGGAAACTCAATAACCTAGAATTTATAGAGTTAAGTTTAAATATTTGTCTTGTGTTGCAACATGCATATCCGGTCCTAGAAATGTTTTATAAAAAAATCTTCTGGATGAAGAATAAACAGAGCTAAATATGGTAATAACATTAAGCTACAAAATTCCTTACAATTGTGTCAGTGTGTCTTGGAAACTTCACACATACTGGAGCAAAAAAATATTTATATCCATGAAAAGACATCCCTTCACCAGATACTCCTGCTTTTGATTTGCACTGTATCCATCTAAGTCTGCACATTGTCAGCAGGGGTTTTCTACAATTATGAAATGTAAAATGGTTAAATGAACACATTAATCATATACTCTTCTGTGTTTTGAAGAAAATTATGTAGGGATGCTCATAATGCTTTTCATTCTTTTCCTAAGTATTCTAGAATATCAGTGTATATATACTTCAGCTGTGTGATTTTGCAGAGTCACAGGCTGGTTCATGCTGGAAGGGACCTCTGGGGGAAATCTTGTCCAGTCCCCTGCTCAAGCAGGGCCACCTAAAGCTGATTATTGAGGACCATCACCAGGTGGCTTTTGAGTATCTCCATTTTTTGGTTTTGTCTTGGCAGTTTGTCTGTATAGTCTAGGTCTAAGAAGTGTAATTTTGCTGAATTGGAGAGGGAAAGTCTCTTCGCCTGCTCTCAGGGCACTCTGTTCTGTTATTCTTAGTTATTCATTAGAATCTTCATTGAAGGTAAGTAACGTTACTGTTAGGAAGAAAGTGGCTATGGGAAGGACGCTGTTAGTTTTGTGACTGAAAATGCTTGACTTGTCATACATATTTTTGAACTAGTACTGGTTTTGTACATACCAGTAGTAATGGAAAACCTGCATGCTTTTTTAAAAAACTAGCTTATGTGCACTTGCAGTGCTTATCTGTTGATTCCGTGACTGATTTTTAATAAATAGACATATAATCTAAAACAAAAAAAAAAACTCCATAGGACTACTTAAGGAGTGAGCATCTACCAACCAGCATCTCTCTGATAAACTCCTCTGTACCAAAGTTCTGAAGTGAAATGTCTGGAGATGGCATAAAATCGGTTTGTTGGGTCACATCACTTTCTCACTTCAGTTTACTTTCCATTCCCTTACAGGCCAAATCCATAGTTCCCAAGAAGTTAGTCAATTTTCGTCTTATGTTTTGGACATGTACTTGTGTTTTCATCCCTTATGTTTTCATCTAGTTAGAAAGATGCTTGGTTTAAACTCTGTGGTAGCACTTTAGTTCTTGAAATAAAGTAATTTAGCTTGGTTTTTAATGTGCATAGTTAATGAAACTTGAAAAATAGGGTAAGTATGTGGTTATAGTGTATTACCCATGTGATGAAAGCTACATTATTCAAGTATTTGAATCCCTGAGGCAGTGCATTTCGTGAGTTCTCAGCCACACAAGAGCTGTGAAATACATTCTCTGCAGTTTATTACACTGACCTACTGACTGCTTTGGAAAGCTCTTCTGTGACTGCTCTCATTTCCATTTAGTCAAATGTGTAAATAGGTGTCTGCTTTGCTCTGCCTTTCACAGTACAGCTAATGCACCAGACGACGATGCTCCAAATAGATATTCCCGAACAGAGAGAACAGCTTACGGCAGATACAGCAGAGATGCAAATTCTTCTGGCAGTTCTCTACCAAGTAACACTTTGGAAAAGAGGATTGAGGAACTTGAAAGGGTAAGTACAAACTAACCTTTCTATGGCATACATCTGAAGTAAAGGACTTTTGAAACTCCATGGGGAAATTTGCAGGTGAAATACATAGACATTATGCAAAATGCTTTAGTTATTAACTATGCTATAGTTATGGCTATGAAAACATATAAAGAATCAGACTGACTGAGAGGAATGTGAACTTTCACATCACAGATGTTTAGTTTTCGTTTGGTATATAAGTGAGAAATAGTTAAGGCAAAGATAATACACTTAGAGTGCCAGCAGTGCTCTGTATGTTACTCTTATGCACCTCGTGACACACCAGCACAGAGCAAATATCTTGGGGGAAGGAGGTCACTGGCTGTTCACAAGGTTACCAGCCAGTTTCTGATCTACTTGTTGGCTTTGATTTTTTTAGTATACTGAAATATTGTAAAATTTAATTGCTATCTAGTTGTTTGTTAGAGCTGTAAACACTGAAATACGTATTTAAAATGGTTTTCATTGTTTCACACTGATTTAATAAAAACGGTTTTGGGAAAATGCAGTAATATTGAAGCTGAGCTTTTCACTTAAGCCAGTATTTTGCTAAATAATGTCATCTGTGTAATCTATTACTGGCTTCTCTGTCTTCCTCTGAAGTGGATTATTTTGTGGGTAACCTACCAAATATTCTTGATTCGTGTGAGTGAAAGCTACTAAGTAAACGCAATTTGAATAGGTCTATTCTTGGAAAGAGGGAAAATAACAACTATTTTGTAGAAATTATTATTTTTGATTTAAGACTTGAGGAACCTTCATTTGACTAAAGTATACCACAATCATCCCTTCTAAATCAGCTTCTTTCTGAAATACTTTAATTGCCAGTAAAAAAATAAATAGAAGAAGATTTAAGCACCTTCTTTCCTAATGAACATTTTCATTCTTTCTCACATTCAAGCCCACAGATTTAAGAGTCTTAATTTCTTGTTAATGATATTATAAAAAGCCAACAACAGAAAATCCAACCAACAACAATTAGGAAGCTGATACTTCACATTTATTTCTTCTGTTTTGGGCCCCTGTCCAATTCTGTGTTCATGCTCAAGTTAAATTTAAATTAAAACACTATCACTTGAATCAGATACCAAAGAGTTTTGCTGTTGGTAAAATATTCTTAGATGTGATTCGTTAGCTCCTTGAAATGTAAAAGGATTTGAAGATATGGGTTTGACGTGCTGTAGGAAAGGAATTATAGATAAATGTCTGTGTGTTCTTCTTTCTTTTTTGTTTTTTAGATGGTATTAACTTAAAACTGTCTCTTAAAACAAGAATTTACATTTCCAACTTCATTCTGTATTCTGGTTATAGGAACTTGCAAAAGAAAGACAGGAAAATGCAAGATTAATGAAGATGGCACAGGACAAAGAGGAACTAATTGGAAAGCTGAAAGAAGAAATTGATTTATTAAATAGAGTAAGCAAATACTTTCTTACATGGCTCTATAAAGAGGAAATAAAAGTTCTGCACTCTTTGTTGTATTCTTCAGGCACCGCGTCCAGGCAAGGTCAGAAAATAATTAATTGAGGGGTTTTTTGTATTTGTGTAGCTTTTCAAGAGGTATGTCAGTAAGTTGTATTTTTTTTTCTAAGGTGACTTGTATTTGTTATGATTAACTTCCCTAAGTCTGGTCAATTCCTTGTTAAGTGTTTATAAAATAAGGTTAAAAAACCTAAAGCTCTTTATATTTTGATAGATATTCTCATACTCTTTATTGTTGATCCCAAGTAAAGGTAGAATAAGACAGAGGGCAGGAGACATGAGGTAACGTCACCAGGCAAGGTGTGAGGGCAGAAGAGGAGGGGTAGAAGAGTGAGACATGCTTGGAAATGGGACAAGATGGCAAGTTTTAAAGCTGGTAAAAAAGTTGCACCAGTTTTAAGGGCAAACAGGAGTTCTTTCATAGGGTGGATTATGACCTCATCCTGCTCTTCCAAGCTGAGGTGTGGAGTCCTGATGTACTAGAGATACATGCCTCTCTTCTGCTCCATGCAGATAGGATTCTGGTGAATCCATCACTGAAGGGAGGCAGTAACTGCATGAAGAGTGTCAGACCTACATTTTGCAGCTCTTCATTAATAGCAAAGGAGGACTGCATTCAGAAGTTTGAAAACTAACCTAGAAAAGTAAGAGATGAGATTGTTCTGAAACACATATTTAGATTTTTATATGGACAAAGTTGGAAGTTAATCTGTAAGATAATTGAGGTGGTATCTGTTTTAGAGAGATTTGTATTTCAACTGAGGCATTGCTCTTCATGCAGTTCTTTCATTCTGCAAAGAATCTGTCTCCTCTAAGCTTATTTGCCTTATTACAGTTGAGGCAGGTGTTCAATCCTTCTGCATAATGGATGGCAAAGCTATTTAATACTGTTGGTCACGTCTGACTTCCTGACTCAAAGGTCAGAAAGCAAAAATCAAAATAATGTAAATGACTGAATCTTGGGGCTTAGGACCACAACTTTTTGAGAGGTTTCATGTTCCACAAGCAGTGTTACTTGTTTTGGCTACTTGAAGTATGATGTCCTAAATGAAATCCATCAAGAGGATGGATTAGAAACTGTCTTTGAACATCCATGGTAAAGTTAGGCACTGTCTGTGCATTGCCTGTGTTAAGTCCAAGGGCAACTTCTGCTTGTAGTACGGAAGAAAACATAAACTGAATCAAGTAATTTCAAAAGCAACTTTGTTATATATTGACTAAAATTTTACCTTTCCATGAGATCTACAAAGCCATCTTATTGGTGCTCCCTAGGTAGATACTTTTAAACACAGAAGAGAAGGGATTTTTTGGTCTATCAGGTCAGCACTTTTCATACCTTTAATATTGTGTTTGCTCAATAGCATGCAAGATGTTTATGTCTGTGTCTCTTGGGCTTTTCTTAAGGATGAAATAGGTGCCTTTTGATTTTATGACCAGTGTAGTTATTTGTCTTGAACTCATTTCTCAAGTGATGCTTCCATTAACACAAATACAATTTTACTTTCCTGTTATTAACTCTTGAATTTATGATTGCTTCTATATTGGCTATCCATGTGGATTCAGAAAGGGAAAAGGGTTCAAAAATTAAGAAAAGCTGCAGAAATATCACATGATTTTCATGATAGAAGATTATAGAAGTTAATATGGCAGTTGTATTTGCTTCAGGTTTATTATCATAACTGAGAACATGAGAGCCAGCACTCAGGCATCCATCTGATGGAGTGTTCCTCTGTAGGCCTAGCACCAGGATTGGATACTTTTCATGGAAGAACAGCTGCCATCTTCAGCCTTATGTTCAGATAAAAGGATGTCCTGAGGACTGAACTTTATTTAGTGAGTCTATGCAAAGATCAACTGAAATAGTTTTGCTGGTAGGCAGCCTAAATAGGAGTCTCTAAATTTGACCATCTACACATTCATGGTTTTCCTCCAGCTTTTCTTTTCATCAACATATACAGTTATTGGATGTTAAGATGCACAGATACGGGAAGAATACCATGTCAGATACCCTAGATAACTTCTTAAAAGGCTGTTTTGGTGTGTATTTTTTTGACTGCTCAGTCCATATTTGGCAAAATGCTCTTTCTAGAAGTTTTAGTCAGTTCATTACCACAGATGCATGCCTGATTGGCAAAGACTTCATGTTGCATTTGAAAAACTTTTTCCAAGAATCATGAGTAGAATTTTTCTCATTTTAAGTGAGCCTATTTATTTAATGCGACATTATAATTCTGCTGAGATCAGTCAGTACATCACAGAGATACTTAAAGAATATGATCTGCATTTATACTGAGTAGTAGAAAAGGCTTTCTCCTATAAACAACATTTTCTCATTCCAGTATATTAGATGTTAAAAGTATGTCTGCCATCTTCTTTGTAAGAAAGGGGCAATTGCTTCCTAAATACCTTAAATGTCTGAAAGGAAAGGCATCCCAAAATATTTGAATACTTTGTAGGCAAAGTTCAGCTGTCAATTAGTTTATGCTTAGTCATCTTTGACCTTACTAAGATGCCAGTGTAGTTAAAAGTGTGTTTGGAGAGAGTCTTGTCAGTGAGGATTTACAGTCCCAATTAGTGTCAATTGTGTAGTTATCAGTTCTTTTGGCATGTGAAGTTAAAGCTTTCCTGCTATTGCATCTTTTTTTGCTAATAAGAATAAATTAGTATTGTAATTTTGAATAAGAAACTTGAAATTTCAGAGTTGCAGAATCCCCTCCATCTCTAAGCCCATTGTTTCTGTAGATACTTAAAGTGCAGCAGTTATTTTTCCTGGCTTATATTCAAGAAACTTTTACATGTAGTAATTTTTGGAATGTTATTTTTGCAGCATAAACATTTCACAAACTTTTAATATTTTATTTTGAGTCAATTATACTAGAATTTTAAACAGGAGGTTTTTAGTTAAGTTTTAATTGAGGTATCCAATAGCTCAATCAACAAGTTTTATATTTACCAAACTAAAGAGAAATAATTTTATTGAAAATGTGTTGTCCCTTCCATCTGATTATTAATCTAAATTACACAAAAGAGATTATAAAGTGTATTTGTTTATCCTAAATTGTATTTATAGTATCTATCCACCAAAGCTTACCCTGTTTAGATATTTAAGTCACTTGTATCCGTTACATTGGAATGTTCAAATGCTTTTCCTGGAATTGATTCATACTGTGATACAGCTTTACTTCTGTGAGGCAAAGAGGAATTTCTGCTAGTGATTTCTTGATTCCACTCTAGAAAACAATAAAGGGATTGCAAAGGTATTGAGGTGTGGATTTTAGCTTGGCAAACTGAAGAGGCTTTTAAAAACCATTATACTGATTGAACAGATGATCTCTGTTGTGCCCTCCTGGAATGACCTCACTGAACAAGATAAAAGAACCTGGGCTTTGTATGTCACATAATGCATAACGACTTAAAGGGCCAAGAGAGAGAAAATCTTTTTACTACTTAAGGCAAGAGGACAGTTTGGCAGACTTGAATCAAAAAACACATAGGTTCTCCAGTGAGAATTCTGGTTCGTTTTCCTTTGCCCACCTTTCATTTTTCTCTTTAAAATCCTGTCCTTGACATCATTCTTCTGTTTCTTTATTCTTCTCTAGTTCACATTCTGTTTCTTGCATGTGGCTTTTGTACACAAAAATTATATTTATTGTAGTAATGTTTGTATTAAGCAATCATTATTGCTGGTTTTCACTTCAGAGGCTTGAAAAAACTTGTTAGGAGTGAAGAAGTGAAATGGGAACTGGATAAAAATGGTAATTAGTGGAAAAGACACAAAAATTTGTGTGTGTCAAACACATTTTCAAACATTCTGAAAGCAATCTATTTTGAGCACCCATTACTACTGTGTGCACACTGTTCTTCCAGTAGCACTTCAGACAGAAGGTATGAAGTCCATTTTTATTATTTTTTTCACAGAAAAAAAGTGGACTGACATGTCTTTTTCTGAAAATTTTGATACTTAATACACAAAATAAGTCTTCTTGCAGTAATAATCAGTGAGGTGTATACACGAGAGCCATAGTTGCAGGCAAGCAATCGGGGAAGCAGGAATAGGAGCTGATCAATACAGTCTCTGTATATGCCAGGAAAATAATCACCTCTATTCTCTTTTGGTTTTTTTATGCATTAATTCCTGCTGTAGCTTTAATTTGAACATGTTTCTATTTAAGGTGCTTAGGAATTTAATATTAATATTTTGTAATTGTAGTAACAATTTCAAACAGGCTGGTTTAACAGTTCTAAGATTCTACTGTGACACCAATTCTTCCCTATTCCAGCTTCCTAATTTCACAGCTAAGATACTAAATTTCTGCTGCTACTAATTGAGAGTTTATATTTCCATCCTAAGAAGTGTTTATTTTTCTTTTTTTCTTGTACAGGATCTAGATGATATAGAAGACGAAAATGAACAATTGAAACAAGAAAACAAAACCCTCTTAAAAGTTGTTGGACAGTTGACAAGGTAGAAGATTCAGATGTCAATGAGGAAAGATTAAAAAAACTACTGATTGAACACTAAGGTCAATATAGTAATATTCCTGTGTTGCAGTATCTTATAATAAGTGTCTTTGTATTTATTGTTAGGAAACCAGATGAATGTTTATTTTCATAGTGCTTTCTCCTTCATTCAATGAAATGGCATAAAATTTGAGGTGTATTTTTAGCTTTCTTTTCACATAAGCATGATTAAATTTTTTGACATATTTCAAAATTTTAAGTTCAGAAAGATTTGGATTTTGTATCTTCAGATTACAACTGCATAAAGTACAGTAATCTAAAATTCATAGCATCAAGATCACTTTCAGTCCATGTGGGTGTATATTTTTGAAATGAATGGAAGCAATACATATAAGCCTTGTTTACACAGATTCAAAATATGTATTTTGAGAAATGCTTCCTTTTTTGTTCAAATAGCTGTAAAGTGGATGCCTTATTACTGATGTATAACATTTTGCAGATTGATGACTTGCTCTAGAGCTCTTGTATGTTGAGGTTTTTTACTGTGTCTGAAAGATTGACAGTAGTAGAGTAGCAATTTTTTTTCTGTGTTTAACAGTATTCTATCAGAAGGGGAAGGTTTTACTAAAAAACAACAAAACAAACAAATGCAAAACACCACAAAGCCAAATAAATCACCTCTGGTATCAGCATGAATAAGTTCTTACAATCACATTGAAGTTGTGCACTGCTGTTTATTTTATGCTTTTGCTTTAGCAATGAAATGCAAGTTTGCAATCAGACAGTTTGCTGTGTTGAGAATTCAAACAAAGCCTGGAGCTTTCATTTTAGCAAAGACACTTCTTGTTGTCATCTTAAAATTTGTAGTGATCATAACCCATACAAGTTTTTTGATTTTTTTTTAATGCTGAGTGAATTTTTTTTTTACGTGATGAAGTAGAGGGGCATACTAGTGATGCGTGCCTTTTTGAAAAATAAAATGGTATACAAACCCCATTTTTATCCTTGATTTTAAACTAACAAGTTGTTTAAAAAGTGCCTGTTAGATGGTGTAATCTCCAATTATGACTGTGTGCAGATTTTTCTGTAGCTGACAAAATTTTCCTTAAGACTTTGATCACAGACTTCAGTTAACATTTAGACTAAAACTTATTTGTACTTTATGTACAGCACATTTTTCATTCCTGGTCAGATTAAATGTATATACCCTTTGAGGAAAGACACTAAAAATTAAAACATTTCAAAGAGTCCAGGCTTTTTATGGACAATTTTGGTGTCAGAAAGTTACACACATATAGTTCTGGTTACCTTAAAACTTAAAAGCAACTTTAATATAACAGTATATATATATTAATATATATATATATTAATATATATATATATATATATATATATGTGAAATATAGATGACAGTTGCTTTTTCAGATATGCCAGTTGTTTTCATAATGTGCATTTAATGACAGTGTTTCTTAAATTTATAATTCCAGCTATTGTTACATTTGGATTGTTTTGGATATAGGATAGATTATTTTGCATATGTGCATTCTGATAAGGAAAAATTTGTCAAAGCTTTAAAGTGTTTTTCAAGACATTTACAGTCCAGGATGCCTCAGTCTTTTCCTCCACAGTGGATAAGATTTCATGGAACACCATCAAAAACCTTTTCTCAGGGGGTTAAATGGTTATAAGCCCTTTGAATTACAATGTACATCAATGAGTATTGCTTATGATATTATTGAGACAATAAGAAGTCCCTTAATTTATAAGTTCCATGAAATTGAACATTTGAAGACATAATAAAGTCAGTTGAGATGTATGCCTTTGGACTAAATATGAAACTTTCTCTGGAAGAACATCTGATTTCCTTCTCTATGTACTAGGTAGGAAACACACGTACCCGTGTGCTGCATGGGATGTCAAACATATTGAAGCATTATTAAGTGTATAATATAATAATGTTAAGCATACTGCAGTACACACAGATAACAATATGAAGTAGCAATTGAGATGTTTCATAAAATGTGTTTCACGTACATTTTAAACCAAAGAAAAACAGCAACAAAGAACATAAGCAAGAGTTACTTGTCTTCATATTACCTCTGCTTGGTGGCACTAATGCTGGAATTAGAATTTTTTTTAACTTGTACATAAAACTGACAGAAGTATTTGGCAGAATTTCTGGGTTTCTAATGTAACTGTTCTTGTTCAGGGCTAGTTGTGATTTTTCTGCTCTGGAAAACTTGTGGTAGTTGAGTTTTCCTCTGAAAACAGTCTCATAATCATAATGCAGAGTGATTTTTAGAAAATACCCATTTTATGTGTTTAAAAAGTTTAAACATTGTTAAGCTGTGAGTAGCTGAATATCCATTTTAGTTTTGAACATTGACTAGTAGTGGTGATGCTTGTTACCAGATTATAAAAATGATTTTTAAATTCTTCTACTGCAGGTGAAAGATACATGTTTTATAATAAAGATTGTTTGCCTTTGTTCAAATAAAACACAATTCTTTTTAATCCAGACTGAGTGCTTATTGTCCTTAAAGGAGAATTATTACTGTCTCTAAAATTCTAACTGGACTTGTCCTCTATAGTATAAAGCTCCCAGTCTGAACTGCTAAAATTAGTTTGGCATTCACGTTGGAGTTTTCAAGTTTGTATGCATACACAGACACACATGAGAAAAATCTGTATATTTACACTATACTTTTTTGCTTCAGGTAATAGTGATTATCCTTCCATCAATTAGATAGAAATTATCTTTTCTCCTCCTTCAAAGCAGAAATATAACCCTTCCCAAGGAAAGCAAGAATGTTACAGTGCTGTTTCTACAGAAAGTGAATTAATTTAACTTCTAAAGCTCTATAAAAGTACATGTTCTGTTCTCTCACACAAGCAGACTTGTTAAGGGCAATCTCCGTTTCACTCATAGCTGCAAACTGCACATAAAGAGAACAAATTAATAATCAGTAAATATCAGGGAGATGATAACTATAGCACATTTTATCATAAAGCTGGTAATGTTGTTTTAAAAGAATGTAAACATAAATACCATAAGCAACCATGCATTCATCACCATGGTTACTTTATGGATAAGAGATTATCCATGAAGTGCATTTGCACTTAGTAAAATTAAAATGTTAGGTGAATTTGGGTAAGGATGACTGCATTTATGAAAACATGGTGTCTTTTAGTTTTGTTTTAAAATACAAAACTATGCATTTCTTCAGTTTATGGCTTTGGCATTTTAGGTTCCTCAGTCTTGGTGGGAAGTTATAGCTCCAAGTACACAAGTGCCTTTTCTGTGTTCTGCCTTTAATCACTGGATTTGCCATACAATGTCTACCTGATCTTAGCACTTTATATGTATTCCCATGGATATTCTAATGTTTCTCTCATAACTATTTGTATCTTTTGGTATATTCTTCTTTCCTTTGTTCTTCTAGAAATTTAAGTGGTATCTGTGAAGTGTAACAATGTCCATATACCTGTTTGCTGGATTTTCTCCATTCTTAAACAAACCTCAGATTTATACGAAATTTTTTTCTATACACTGAGGAATGTACTGCTGCTGACAGTTGGTTTGGGACACTTAAGAGCTTACCAAGATTTTGAGATGAATTGAATATTGATAAGGATATTGAGACAATCTAGTGTTCTAGTTGTACCGTAAAAAGTTTTGTTAGTCTCCAGCTATTAAAAGTGAAACCTTGTGGGAATATCACATGTAAGAGTAATGGTGGTGTATGGAAAGCATTTGGACCTGAGCCAACAACAGGATACACATCCATCTAAGGTGTCCCAAAATAGCCCAATCTTCTATGCAGTGGATTTCCACCTAAATCTACAGCTTTGCAGCTGAGCCCTTCCTGTCTAGCAGTTGACCACCCTTCAGGTATGGAAATGGATGTGCATGTTTCACTCAGCATTCCTTGAGCAGGGAGGCCTAATTCATACCCAGTAGCCATAGTCTCTCTTGCTGGTATCTCAGGAGGGATTTCTGTTTAAACAAAATTGACCTGCAATTTCTGCATTCACTGGAGACATTTGATATAATATTAAGCAATTGGCATGTTTAATAATTAATGAGGAAATTGTGACATCTTTTATACCACATAAAAAAGGAATGTTTCATTTTCTTATTGCTAGACCTTTTCTTGAAGTGAAAGTTGCTGCCCCCCTGAAAAAGGTCTTATAAAATCTTTAAGTTGTGCTCATTTTATAGCCTGATGAAGGTGCTTACCTCAATAAACCCAAACCCACCAGGCCTTCTTTTAACAGCAGTAGAAGTTAAAATGTCTTGAGAAGAATTCCAGGAGCAGATTTGAGGTGATGTCTTAAGACTCTTGAGTTCTTGTTTTCTTCTGGGATTTGAGCAACCTGGTCTAGTGAAAGACATTTATCTGCATGGCAAGGGAGTGGGGAACTAGATCATCTTTGAGGTCCATTCTAACCCAAACTATTCTGATTCTTCATTGAAGAAGACCTGGATAAAAAGATAACATCCAGTATTGTTTCTGAGTGACTACCTTGGAACTCACTGCTGGACTTCTTAGGGAACACAACTGTCACTTCATGCTCAAGTCCTGCGAGTACTGTAGTACAGGAGAGAATAGCAGCAGCGTTCTAGAAATCCAAGCCTTAACTTGGATTTTCTACTGGTTTGGGCCAAACTATGTAAAACATGCTTAGTAGCTACTGGTGGAGTTGTAGTGGATGTTGCTAATGGAGGAGCCGGAAAACTCTTACTTTTGTAGTTGTATTTTAGGCTTGCTTCAGGAAATCTTTCTGCGGCTATAATTACTGAGAGGTTAAACTGAACTTTGGCAGTAGTTGTGTTAAGTTTTAGAAAGAAACTTCGAGGTAAGAAAGGCCATCTTAGCTATTTTTAATTGGTGCCTTTGACACTTCATTATTTTTGTGATAAAACTCTTTGTTATCTACAGGTAACAAGAGATAAAAACCTTATCTGTACTGCAAAAATAATCTAAGTCTACCTTGATTTTTAATTAATATATTCTAAATGTTAAAAAATATTAAATAAGAATCAAACTTTATTTTCAGATCTGGAATTTCATTAATAGGGAAGGTAATGAAAATGTATGCATATTTTGTGCTACTGCTCTGCCTCATTTTCTGGTAAACAGAACCACTGTTGAAAAGGAACAGGTTTTATAATTGATTGTCTTACTGTTGGCCTCTTTAGGTGTTACAGCTAATAAAATTCATGCTTTCTGGAATACTAAAAATATTCACTTAAAAAGTGGCAGCAGCAAAAATGAGAACTCAATCTCCTCTTAGTCTTTTAGGGTGGGAACTGAAGCAATTTTTATGGGTTGTCCTTGACTAAATGACCTGAAGATACTTAGGTATGGCAGGCTCACTAAATAAGCTATTGTGTAATCTGCAACAAAGTAGCATTAAATGTTGTCCTTTCTTTGTATCAGTATTTTCTAAGAACGCTAAGCATAATTTAAAAGAAAGACAGTGCTTTTCTATTACCAAGATTATATTTTAGAAATGTGGAGGTTGATAATTGGCATCTTGATAAATACTCCATTAGTATTTC